GGACCTTCAGTAACAGTAATAAATCACAGCAATAGTACATTCATGCAGTTGTAAAAAGCATGATAATATATTAAGTAATCCAAAGTATTCAGAATACGTTACTCTCATTGAGTAACAGAATACATTACAAAATACATTTTCGGGCATGTATTCTGTAATCTGTAGTGGAATACATTTTAAAAGTAACCTTCCCAACACTGCCCACAGTGCAGTGCTTTACACATCTGGCTAACAAGCAAAAGCACATTTTTGCTCCAGAATCAAAATCAAAACATGAATATGAATTGGAAAAATTATGATAGACATTCTCCCCGATGGGCATTTGCTTCAGTAAACAACAAATCGATTTATTTAATAATTTAAAAAGTGATAGCCATTCCTTGTTTCACATTATGCAACTTCAGTTTTTAGGAATTACAAGCTAGACAATTAATAGATAAAAGGCCTTTAAATTTAATAGTGTCAAATATAGTTAAATATGTTCATGTTTTCTCCCGACATAACAATACCTCACGACTAGCATAAAATAACAACGTTGTAATAACGTCGTAACATCTCAGCAGGTAAACTTGGGCTCTGTTTTCCTGATAACGCACAAGTGAGTTCAGCAAAGCCTGGAAATAAGAACAAAAACAGTCTTTCCCCAGCTGTGCACCAGAGTACTGAATCTCCGCTGTGTTTAAAGCCATTCATATTGAGCAACACGAAAAGGGCAGTGCACTCACCTGTGTGCCGGACATGAACCCCTGCAGCTGTCTGATGGACACCTGAGTTCTCTGCGCTTTATTTTCAGGTCCCCATCCGCCAATCAGCGCACAGTGATTGGTCTGCAGCGTGGACGCAATGAATGTTCAGCGATCACAGGATGTTTTTTATAGAACTGTTTTTACTTCAAGATGTATCTATATTTTCTACCGTTACTATCCAAACATACAAAGAAGTCTCTCACACAGTAGGGTTTAGCAGTGGGCTTTCAGTTTCACGGTTATGTGGTTTTGACTGTTACAAAGAAGCCATTTCTGAGAACTTTCATATAGTTTATATATAACTTCAAATTAACGTGTTTTTAATCTGTAATTTTACATCTATACAGATTTTAAGCCTCTGAAAATGGGGCATTCCTAATTTAAATGAATTTAAAGGTCCGGGCTTCAACCGCATAATGATTGTTTGATTTAAAATCACAAAAACTGCCACTCTCCTAAAATATATTGTGGCGTGAAGAATATATACTACGTTTCTGGCATCATTGCTGTTCACAGTGTTGCTGATGGGCATCATCAAAAAAATAATAATCAGAGAATCTGGAGAAAGTTTTGTTTGAAAATCTGTAGTGGATGCCCGTGATGTTTGGGTCTTTGAAATGCATTAAAAGCAGACATGGAAATCACTGTCTGTGAATGCAGTTCACCGTACCAACCACAAAAGCTCCATCGTGTAAAGAAAATGCGTGAACGTGATCTAGAAACGCTGCTGTTTTCACTGAGCCAAAGATCGTTCAAAATGGACCGAGCCAAAGTGGAAAACTGTTCTGTGATCAGATGAGCACCTCCCCCCCCCCCTTTCCCCCCTCTTCAGGGAAGGCCTTGCGTATTTCAGCAAGATAATGCTAAACTTCATACAGCATCTATACAACAAACATGGCTTCACAGTAGAAGAGTCCACGTGTTGAACTGGCCTACTTGCAGTTCAGGCGTTTCACCAAATGAAAACATCTGGAGCATTATGAAAAATAATGATGACAAATACAACAAAGAAGACCTGGGACTGTCGAGCAACTTATCCTCTATGAAACAACAATGGAACAACAGTCCTCTCCCAAAAGTCCAGCATCTGGGTCCTGGACAACGAAGCTAGCTCGGCACATTCGGTGATATCTTCACATTATCTGAATCAACTTACCTGTAACCTGCACAAATCAAATCAATGAGCGGCCACACGAGGCTGGTTATCAACTCGATAGATTAACCCTGGGTTTCCCTGCGCGTTCACATGAAAGGGGTGGCGTTGGCAGAATCTGACCAATCACAAGCGGTGCGACTGACTTCAGAGAGATAAAACTATATTATAAGAGGTTAGAAGGACGGAGAAGAAGGTTAATAGAATTCAATATTGCTGAAATTACAACTCCATCGTAAAGTCTTTTAGGGATTATAATAAATAATAGTCAGTTTGTATAGGGCTAAAAATTAATCTGTCCTCATGTGTTTCATTGATGCCTCTAAGGCTTTTGATCGAGTGAACCACAGAAAACTTT